CATACATGGCAATGGCGAGTGATGAAAAAAGCGGAAGGGGCGTGGCCTGGACGGGGGCGTGGCCTGGACGGGGGCGTGGCCTGGACGGGGGCGTGGCCTGGACGGGGGCGTGGCCTGGACGGGGGCGTGGCCTGGACGGGGGCGTGGCCTGGACGGGGGCGTGGCCTGGACGGGGGCGTGGTTACTTACAAAAGTGGCACTAAACATGCTGAAGATGAAGTGTATTAAATTTACACACTGTTTGAAAATTGAACAGAAAAAAATCCCAAGATCGCCACTATTCTTTCAAGTGAAAATTTGTGCAATTTTGCTTATGCATTCCTGGTGAGCACCAATATGTAACTCCAAATTTGCTGCTCAAAATCAAAACTAAAAAAGTAAACACATTCCCTGCCATATTTAAGATTTGTTCATGACTTGTATTCATAAAGTGTTGTGTAAATGTGATAAAAAGCTGTTGATTCTTACCTCATACAGTGATAGTGAATATTTATTATGCATACAATTTATTATGCCTAACCGTGCTTTATTATCCAAGACAAAACGTGAATTATCAATATGAATATAAAACGCAAATAAAAACAAATAAATGTTATCATGCTGTTGCTACAAATGCATACCAAATAAAATTGAAAATATCATCCTCGTATATTTGAATAAAAAATTTATATACCTCGGAGTGTACCTGTCTATCGGCGAGGGGCGTCAGTGGAGCAGATTTCGTTGCTTGGTTCAGCCAAAGTACCCCAGCGCGTAACGTCTTTAGTTGTATCCGCTGACGCAGTTTGTTTGAAAAATGCCGATCCCAAAGAATAATTGCTCCGTCGAATGGCGATTTTGTCGGCATGTTTTTTTCACTTTTGTTGCATGATCTGTCAATGCCACGCATCCACGGGAGCCATAGTTAATTAAGTCACTACAATACACACAATAAGCTTTGCCTGCTACGTCTGGTTTCTTCAAAAATTGTCCAAGAGCTTCTGTAACTTCGTCGAACTTGGAACCATTTTTACCTTTACAGTGGCTTTTCTGTCAAGCCAGTCCCATCGGAATTTATTCTTGACGTTTGAGTCAATTTCTAGGATTCTAGGATTGAAGACTCCTGGTCTTTCGTCAAAAATTTCATAATTCCGCTCAAAACGATCCCAGAACAATGAATTTGCAAGACGAACAGGCCGCCATGAATCAGGTAAAACAATATGTTACGTGCAATTTGATTGGTCCAATCGCTTGTAGTTAACCAATCGCTGGGCCGTATATAATCGAGCTAAGACTTCCGCAACAAATAATGCCTTCAGTGATCTGATTAGTTGAAGCTTTCATACACGTCCAATCGCAGGGCTGTTTACAAACGGAAAATGGAGAGACTGTTCGGGAGAGCTCGCGAAAATTTGACGATAAGGTACCTGACCGCCCCCAAAATTTTCTCAACGGATTTAGACGATTCACAAAAATGATCAATTTAAGAAATAAAACAGCGGATTTCCGCGGACACGCGGAAAATTGCCATCTATGGCACATCAACCGCACAGTACGGAAGTGTAGGATTCGATTCCAGTTCGTGCCCACTAAGGTTTTCTTCAGTTTCCTCCCACATTCCAAAAACATGCATCATAGGCTGACTGAACACTCTAAATTGTCCTTAAGTGTAATTATGAGTGTGAATGGTTGTCTATGTGTGCCCTGATTGGCTGGCAACCAGTTCAGGTGTGCCACGCCAACTGTCTGAAGACAACCGGGATAGACTCCAACATGCTCGCGACCCTCATGAGGATAGGCTGGTTGAAAATGCATGGATGGATGGGCATTTTATCTGTTTTGTGAGCACAGTCTCAGTGGTAAACATACATCAGAGTTGGCTTGAAGAGCTATTCCTTCGTGACAACTTCGGAGGACATTTCTACCTTGAAAAACGCCAGCCCCGAGCTAAAAATATATACATACATACCTATTCCGAACACCGACGCTAACACAACTTTCAATAATGGGAGTTATTTTTCCTCCAGATGGCGTCCTCGCTGCTTGGAACATACGGAAGCCGGAAGTTCACAAGTCTCCGTATTTTCCACCGGAAGTACGTCATGAGCTGCCGGGCATGTAGTCCAATCTTGCACTATAAATTGTACTTCTGAGTAAAAATTTAAAGGGGAAGTCAAGAAAAAAAATCTTTACAATTAGGCACAGAAGGTCATTAGCTATGTCAACTGCGTCACAGAAGACTGTAGGGCAGTGGTTCTTAATCTGGGTTAGATCGAACCCCCGGGGTTCGGTGAGTCGGTCTCAGGGGTTCGACGGAGCCTCTGCCATGGAGGGTAAGACACATGCAACTCAACATGTTAATTAGTTATGACACGCCCGCTTGGCCATCACTGGCTGCAGATGATCACATGACATATTAGCCCCGTTCACACGACAACGTTTGGTCCGACGCACATTTTCTGTGGTACTGTTTGTCCTGCATATCATTCCAAATCCGCCCAGAATTATTGGGCTCTTACACATTGTGGTACAGGACAGTGTAAGCGCAACTGTCTGTCATCTAGTGGTGATTGATGATATAACAACTTAAAACTAGGGTAGTATACAGTGAAACTCCTCTACAACGAAATCATGTTTGCAGCAAGAAATTTTTCACAACAGGGGGTTTTTCATTGTAGTAAATTTGATCTCAGATGTAAGCACACACACACACACACACACACAAACGTATGTGTACTCTATTTTTATTCCAATAGTGCATAAGTATGAGCACACACTTATTTGACACTTCATATTGTCAGTGTCGAAAGAAAAAAAGGGAAAGAAATTGCAAAATTTACGATCAGTATTCACTTTCACTTACATCATTTTCTTTGATAATGTCTTTTATTTTGCTTGCTCCGTCTTTCATTTTGATCACTTTTACCCTCTCTTCCAGCATCAGAGCTTTTCTTGTCTTAGCTGCTTGACATCCAAAGGTCCGTTTTGTAGCCATTTTAGCAATGCAACGTCCATGCTTTTGTCTGAATCTAACAATAACAAATAATTCCTGGACTACTGCGCATGTGTAAACCAGTGTGGTGGTTGCTGTTGCCGTTTCCGAACAAAGCAGTAGAGGTCGCTGTTGGATTAGACTTCGTTGTAGTGAATGTCTTCGCGAGGCTGGAGCAGAGAAAATGATTTCGTATAACGCAACAGGGGTTTTTTTTTTCGTCGTATGGGGGGCAGGAGAATGGGAATGTGTTAATGCATGAAGATTTTTTTTACATTAGGGGGTATTTTCACCCATGTAGGTTTCGTTCTAGAGGAGTTTCACTGTATTTGTAGTCCGGCACCCAAAGTCAGAGAAATGTACTGCTCCTGTCAGGTTCGGGTATGAACAGGTGAGGGGATCCCACAAATATCGACGAGGATAAAGTAGAACAAGAAAATTATGGAAAAATAAAAGACCGAAAAAGCACAAATAAAGTCGTTGCCAACGAAGAGTCAGGATAAAAGAAAGAACATAAATCACTTGCAACTAGCAAGGTAATACCGGTAAGTAAACAGAAACTAACTTGCAACAAAATGGCAAGGAATCCACGCAAACGAAATGAGCATGAACAATAATACACCATATTCTGATTTTACTTTGCCCACCTTTGCGAAGGCAGACCGAGCACCTTCGCTGCAGTGTGACTTTTACGTGAGGCACACGATGTTCATGCACCTAGAGCCCATTTTGATGGCTGCCTCTTCGTTTTGTGCAGACGAAGCGTCCTGCTTTCAGCAACTTCATGTACCCTTTCATACTTGATGGAAGATTTTCCTCCCATCCATTCATTCTCTATTCCACTGATCCGGGGTCACGTCACGGAATGAGATGTCTCGCCTCCTGATGTCTTCCTTGCGGATTGCCCCATTGTGCCAGATGAAATGGAATGGTCACAGTTAAAGCATGTTATGTCGCCTTGACCCTTTTCTGCTTGAGGGATGTTTACAACCTTCACTCATCATAAACCATGGATGGCCATTACAAGATAAGCAATCACTTCAGAACAATGGTCAGAGTTCATGACAATCTCATCGCTTTCTGTGAGTAGTGTCAGTGACTTTTCAATGTCACAGTGTATGACAACAATTGGTTTACAATAATCCAAGTTAACTGAGTTCATGGGATTTAAATTAGTTTTCATGAAGAGTGGAACTGGATTTTAATTCATTGATGTGGAACAAATTAATAAAAAACATTTTAAAAAGTGAATACAAATAAACTCATTCAGCCATACTGTGCGATTCAAATCAAATTTGGTAAATAAATAATCTTTCCATAATTTGACCTTTACTGTGCACGAATATTTTAAAATCTGTGATTTTTGAGAGCAAAAAAAAAAATGCAAAACAATCAAACAACATGCAGACACACAGCTTAATTTCGTATATTCTACCATCAATTGCTGTGATTTCCAACCACCGCGGCATACTGGAGTAAATTATTGTCCATAAGAGATCATCAGGTATACAGTTGGAATTCAATTTCATTTAATTGCTCTGAAAAAGATCATTCAAGATAACTGTGCTTGACCTGCTTTAAATTCCATTAGTTAGTCAACTTTTTGTTCAATTACACAAACTCAGATTTTAAATTTGAATAAGTACCGTATTTTCCGCACTAAAAGGTGCACCTAAAAGCCTTCCATTTTTTTAAAAGCTCACAGCGCACCTTAAAATCCGATGCGCCTTGTGTTATTACGGTAATAGTCAACCCCAAAATGGCTCCTTGCTAGAGACGTGCTTGTTGAAACTTAAGGTGATCAGTTACGCAGTTGAACAGTGAAATAGAGCAGCAGCAAGAGAATTCAATGTTAATGAGCCAATGTTATAACTTGCTGTTGGTTAAGTGAACTGTGTCGCTGCTTTATTTAATAAGTTTTACTGATATCTGATCGTTCTGTAGCAAAGCCACTCAACAGCTAAGCTTAGCTGTGGGGATCTGTGTATGTTGGGGAGAGTGGGAGGGGTACTCTTTATGTTGTGTTTTTGATGTGTTACTTGCACAACACTGAGTTGTATTTAAAAAGTGCTATATGAGTAAAGTTTGATTGTTCAAAGCTGTGACGTGGTTGCACGCACAGCAGGAGCAGCGGACTATGGACTGCTGAGGGGGCGCGTCACTCCAGTGGCGTTGCTACAGTTCTGTAAGCATTTCCTTGAGCGTAACTCCATCTAGTGGATGCATTGTAGATTGTGTCTTATAGTGCGGTGCGTCCAATATATGAAAAAAATTACAAAATAGGCCATTCATTGAAGGTGCGTCTCATAATCCAGTGCGCCTTTTAGTGTGGAAAATATGGTAGATTGATGAAATGAGATTCAAATTACTGTGTGCAGAGTACACAGTACTGTATATAGTTTTGACATTGTTGTTGGGCACATGCCATGATAGTTTTTGGCTGTTGGCTCAATCGAGGTTGTTAAACAGCTGCACACAATCAACTTTAACTCCACACGATATCAACACTTCTGCAAAGGGAGGAGAGCAACAGAAACTGGTTACTTTGGCATGAAATCTTAAATACAACCCTGCAGGCTTGCCACTCTGTCTAAAAGCTGAGCAAAAACAGGACACACACTGCTTGGGGTTCTCAATCTGTTTCTTACAAACTGTTAGCATAAAACTTCAAGTATTTTCTATTGTTACACTGTCTTATACTTTCACAATTCGCACTTAAGTAGAATAGAGAAAAAAAGTCATTATAGTATAGATATGTCTGAATAGAAGTAATGCCACAAATCAGTACTGCCACACTCCACTTCCAATAATGGCAAAGATATTACAAATGACTGGGATTCTTTTATTTCTCCAATACAAATGTCAGTTAACTAAATAACAAAAGTAATTAATTAAAGCACTCCATGTAACACAGAACCTTTCTCACATTTCAACTCAATTTCATTTCTACATTCATAAAAGAGAAACATAACACTTTTTGGGAAGCCACCGCAAAAGAGCAATGGGTTGACAAACAAACTGCAACTACAGGTGTTTGAATGTTTAAAGCAAAATTTCTAGACTAATGCTTTTTTTCAATTCTTCTTTCCTGATTATCTACAGCAGGTGTCAATTAGGTGAGTTGGTGGAGGCAAATATCTAAAACATACAGGCAAGGTGCCCTCGAGGACCGGTGTACAGCCTGGTAAGAGGAACAACTCGCACAGTCGACTTGTTATTTTGTTTTGACTTACCCGCTGGCTAAAAGCACCTCCACTACTTTTTGGTCCATATCTTCTTGGACTGAACTATAAGAACTAAGTTATGGAGCTACAGGAAGACCCATGCAGTGGAAATTGTCATCTGAACTTACATACAATATTGGTTCATTCCATGGTATAGCTAGTGCACCAAATTTGTACGTTTCCTTTTGCATTTTTATCTAAATCTGCAAAACCACTTGGGCTCCAGTTATTCATTCGTAACTATCATCTGTTCTTTAAACCTCCCAAGAATTAAGAAACGGTCCAAAGCATTATGTACCTACTTAGTCATGGGTTACACGGCGTCAAAACACATTGGATTTCATAGAATTGATGTATATCTAAGCAGGGTCAGAGGACACAGCGGAAGGTTTTTTTTTTTTTTTCCCCCTCCATGTAGTGATTTTAATGTGTTTTAAATGTGTTATCATTATCCTCAGCTCCTTTTGTTGAATTCAAGTGTTAGCTTGAAAATGTACCTAACATCACTGTCATAGCGCTTACGTCTTTGTGCTGGCACAACCTCCTGATGAGAAGCACTCTTGGAGAATCTTTCGGTAGAATGGGGAGAAGACCAGCTTATTGAAATTGACGAGACAACTGAAGCGAACAGCAAGTGCTTGTAGCTCCTTGCAGATGGGTGCAAGACCTCCAGGTATAGGAGGAGGGGTCTTGTGTTGACTGGACTCCAGAGTGGCCAGCAGGTAGCTCTGAACCCGAGAGTCTGAAAGAGATGCCAAGAGAAGACAAAAGAGGAGAGTCAATTCAATCTCACCCACCAACAAAAAAATTGCAGTGGACATCACTTACCCATCAACTGACGGACTGTGTTGTCCGGCTGGATGGTGGCAGAGATTTGCCCCATCAGAATGTTTTTTTGGTCAGTAGATAATGCGGCGGAGCCATGCTGGGTTAAACATTGACTTAGCTCCATGCACAGTTTCTCCCCAGTGGTCACTAGGGTCTCTTGCAGATTGAAAGACCTTGGAAAAGGCAATACGTTATTTGCATGAAACAACACAGATTGGCTCCTGCGAAAACTACAAGGACAAATTCCAATCCTATTTATGGAGAAAAATTTGTAGTTTTTAAGGCTGAAACTACAAGGAACATATAGTGACTGGTCCAAAAATGTAGGTACACCTACGCACTCAGATGTATCTCATATTGTCGAATCACAATGCTCAGTTTTGATTGGCAGGTTTGACACAGAAAGGTATTAATTTCAGCAATTTGTATAATATTGTAGCTGTACTTTGCATTGCCTGGCAACACTACAAGTTACAAGTACAACAAACATCTTCAATGAATTCATACCTAAATTTCTAATGCAATCCTATGAGTACAACGTAATTGCCTAAGTATATTGGTTAATCAAACAGATGCTTCAAGCAGATTTTGCACCACAATGTTATTGTGTTACAGTTTATAAATAAATTACATTTTTGAAAAACAGACGATCTCATATCGGAACAAAATGAAAAATTACAGATACAAAGTATAATGTGTGCCACCAGTTGTCATAAATAGGTGTAAATAAGGTACTCAATTTTACAAATTTTGTCTAGGTAATGCTTTACAAGTTTTAACAAAACTGTGGGAGGTGTTTGTACTTACGGTGCATGCATATCTGCAAGCATGGCATGAACAGTGTTTTTAAGCGTCTCCATGAGCCCCGGAATGCCTGAGATGGCTTCCCCCGTGGTTGTGTAAACTATGAGTAATATCGATGAAAGTAGAACTAATTGTTCAGTTATTTGCTGCATTTCCTGGAACCGAACCTGATCCATCAACATTGTCTAAGTAGCAAAAAAAAAAAAAAAGAAAGAAAGAATATCTCAGAGCAAATCCAACTGTACATGGTACAGCGGTACCTCTACTTACGAAATTAATATGTTCTGGAAGAAATTTTTTAACGAGAAAATTTTGTAAGTAGGGACGCGTTCTCCACGTAAATACCCTAATCCATTCCAAGCCTACCAAAATTCAGACATAAATGTTTATCAAGCATAAAAATGCATCAAAATATGTAAAAAAATACATGTTACATTTAGATTATTGCACAATAAATGAGAGTTGTGCATAATGTAAAAAACAGAGTAACGAATAAAAATGATGGTCATTTAACTTAACTGCGTCCTTATCGTTTTTTGCCCTCTTTAGTTCATGTTCTCTCTCAGAAGGGGTTTTTGCTTGGCGTTGTGTAAAGAACTGATCCAAGGGCGTTTGCTTTCGTCGGCTTCTAACAATCCTTTGAAAATGTCCAACGCAAACATCAGCATAGTGAGCGGTTGTCCAACTGGTGAACACTTTTTCTGGGTGATGCACATTTACGTAAAACTATCGGAACGCCTCATGGCCCGAGGGGCGAATGACGAGGACGCTGCATAAACACATATCTATCTGCACACATAGACTCATACATAGAGGTCCCTCTTAGCCAATGGGATAGCAGGATGATGCTCGGTAATAGCTAATAGCAGCACAGCTATAAGTATGTTGCGTTTAGGAAACTCAGAGCTGCGAGTAGTAGCCTATACTGTATTTTTACCTTTCGTATCTTGAAATTTCTTTTGTAACAAGAGGCAATATTTTCCTGTTGAGGCGTTTCGTAACTTAAAAATTTCATATGAAGAGACACTCGTAAGCAGAGGTACCACTGTAATTAGTTTTTCCAAAGGTGTCACAGACTGAATAAACATATCAAAGAGTTTACCTCAGGAAAGGGCTCTGAGAGGTGTTCCCATTTAAGCAGGCGCAAATACGCTTGATTATGGACATTAGCTGGGAGGAAAGCAGGAGGATCAGCTGAGGCCTCAGTGGAAGAAGCCCCTCTCAAGTTCTTTAATGTGTCCTTAAGCCATTTCTCAGTATAGTCTAAAGCATCTGAAAAAGAGAGGAATCGGTTTTTCAGCGACAACATAACTCTACTCAACGTCACTATTAGACAAAGAACAAAAGTTGCATTTGAACGTTGCATTCTGAGGATCCGCATACAATATCACTTTTTAATCCATAAAAAGATAAGAGTGGCAGTCAAGGAAAATGCAGTTTGCCACACAAAGAGAGCATAGGCATGTTGTGGAGATCTGTGTATGTTGGGGAGAGTGGGACGGGTACTCTTTTTATGTTGTGTTTTTGATGTGTTAATTGCACAACACTGTGAGTTGCATTTAAAAGTGCTATATGAATAAAGTTTGATTGATTGATTGAAATAGATATTTCATCTATGTGAAAGTTCATGTGCATTTAGATTAGCTATAATTTGTGATGTCACCACATCGTGCAACTATGATTCAAATTTTGAATTGCCGCATGGTCAGTGGCCGAAATTCCGCCACTCATGAAAACTTGTAGCAAAACCCCGCGCGGTGTGCAGTGGAGTTCGCCACATCACTCAATGTGCGGCGGCCTTAATACTGTACTCTGTCATTGCCAATCAGGAATGATTGATTTCTTGAGACTTGAGTAAATGATTAAGAATGTTAAATTGTATAATTCGCTTACTGGGTTTTAATACTGCACTCTGTCATTTCCAATCAGGAATGATTGATTTCTTCAGATTTGAGTATATGATTAAGAATGTTAAATTGTATAATTCGCTTACTTGGTTGTCTGTCCAGAAACTCCTGGAACTTGTTCCTCTCATACTCAACGGACTGCTGCATCAGATGAGGCCTGATGCTGTTTACAGCAAAATTAGCCATGTCCAACTTCATCAGGTCCAATAATGAGAATATGGCCCTAAAAAGAGAATGCCAGGAAAAGAAAGTTAAACCTCTGTAAATATTTCCAATCTAATATTGTTTAAGCAAAACTCTTCGCTTCAGCGCCATCATCCATCCATCCATTATCTGAACTGCTTTATCCTCAGAAGGGATGCGGGCGTGCTAGATGTCAACAGTCTTCACGGAGTAGGCAGGAAACACCCTGAACTGGTTGCCAGCAAATCGCACAATATCATCATCCATCTAACATATTTATTTATTTATGTTTACTGCTTGTCAACATTAGGGTCAGCGGTGGGTTAGAGCCTATCCCATCTGACTGAGGAGAGAAGTGGGGTAAACACTGGCCTGGTTGCTATCTAATCGCAGGATACTGAAATGTAAACAGCCATTTACATCTATGGACAATTGAGTCTAGTCTAGTCTAATAGTTGCCTGTGCATGTTTTTGGAATGTAGGAGGAAGCCAGAATACACAGAAAATTCACACAAGCACAGGCAGAGCAAGCACATCATAATGCTCAAACTGAGATACAAAGCCAGAACTCTAAAGTGAAGCAGACGTGCTAACCACTAGTCATTAGAACTAAGTTCACGATGCTGCCCCGATAGAATCATTTAAAAACCCTCTATCCACACCAAAGGCATTCTCATGCTTCATAAAGGAAGATGATGACACATTGACAAATGAGGAAGGAAGGAGCGAAAGGGAGAATTATGCTGTTGGCAGTTGTTTTGCCTCGACTTCACCGCTTTAACTTTATTATTATTATGGCTATGCACAAATCTATTGTGACTGGAATTGAGATGTGAATTCACAGTTAAAAACAAATGCTAAATCATAACACAGAGTGTGAATGATTGTGTATCTGGGTGTGCTATGTGACTGACTGGCAACCAGTTCAGGTTGTACTACTGCCAGAAGACGGCTGGGATAGGCACGTGCACGCCTGCAACCTTCGTGAGGTTAAGCGGTTTAAATAATGGGTGAATGACAATTTTAAATATTCATCAGAAGACTGTGTTTTGACGAGTGGAGGCCATTAAAACATTGCAAAGGAATTTCTTTACTTGAGTTCCCGTTTAATTCCCCTTAAATTCAGTTCATTTGAACTACATAAAGCAAACTACACGCTGGATGAAGTCAAGTCAAGTACAACTTTATTGTCAAATGCGCTGCATGTGGAACATACAGCACAGATGAAATTTCTTCCCTCTCAACCAGACAACAAGACAACAAGAGGAGCCGCTGCGATAAAGAACTAGTTATATAGTTAAAATTTATTTCACTTACTTGAGCAAAGGGACAAACTCGGTAATCTCCTTTAGTTTACTGACATCCTCATCCCTGCAGGGAGCACAAAGCGATCCCATCATCTCAATAATGAAATTGGAAAGGGCACCAACGTCCAGTGCTCCTTTCTCCGCCTGCTGCTGGATTAGAGTCAGATCAAGAACCTCCTCAATTCGGGACCGCAAGTGACTATGGCCCGTCAGCAAGAAAGATAGCAACGTCTGCAGATACACAGATAGATTATAGCTTATTAAAAAGAAAAAGCTCAACATTTACAACATTAATCACAATAATGACAGCTGAAGACTCTTACATAAATTATGATGCAACAATTTTCCTTGGTTTGGGTTTGTCTAATTTGTTGCTTGCATGCAACTTCCTGACTTTGTTTTTTGATGTATCGGTATGGACTGGTGCATTCAATGTTGATGACAAATAACACTTTGATGATATAAAGTAATAAATACCTACACGAAAGTGCTTTGTTACATCTGCAACTGTTGTGAAAGCACGATATATATAAAAATGCATTGTATTGTACAGCATAGAGGTGTATTCCCTATGATTTTTGACAGCAGCCCTTTTTATCTAGTCTAATCTACTGCATGTGGAACATACAGCACAGATGAAATTTCTTCCCTCTCAACCAGACAACAAGACAACAAGAGGAGCCGCTGCGATAAAGAACTAGTTATATAGTTAAAATTTATTTCACTTACTTGAGCAAAGGGACAAACTCGGTAATCTCCTTTAGTTTACTGACATCCTCATCCCTGCAGGGAGCACAAAGCGATCCCATCATCTCAATAATGAAATTGGAAAGGGCACCAACGTCCAGTGCTCCTTTCTCCGCCTGCTGCTGGATTAGAGTCAGATCAAGAACCTCCTCAATTCGGGACCGCAAGTGACTATGGCCCGTCAGCAAGAAAGATAGCAACGTCTGCAGATACACAGATAGATTATAGCTTATTAAAAAGAAAAAGCTCAACATTTACAACATTAATCACAATAATGACAGCTGAAGACTCTTACATAAATTATGATGCAACAATTTTCCTTGGTTTGGGTTTGTCTAATTTGTTGCTTGCATGCAACTTCCTGACTTTGTTTTTTGATGTATCGGTATGGACTGGTGCATTCAATGTTGATGACAAATAACACTTTGATGATATAAAGTAATAAATACCTACACGAAAGTGCTTTGTTACATCTGCAACTGTTGTGAAAGCACGATATATATAAAAATGCATTGTATTGTACAGCATAGAGGTGTATTCCCTATGATTTTTGACAGCAGCCCTTTTTATCTAGTCTAATCTATCCATCCATCCATCCATTGATCCATCCTCGACAGTTTATGCTTATGTTGCAGGGCCAATAGCTTCGGCAGGGCAACCCAGACTTGCTTTTCTCCATCACTTTTTCCAGCTCTTCCCGGGTGATCCCAAGGCATTCCTAGGCCAGACAGGAGACATAGTCTCTCCAGTGTATCCTGGGTCAGCCCCGCGGCCTCCTGCCAGTGGGACAGGCCTGACCAGATGCCTGAGCCACCTCATCTGGCTCTTCTCAAAGTTGAAGTGGCTCGATCCTGAGCCCCTCCCGGATGACCAAACTTCTCACCTTATCTCTAAGGGAGTGCCCAGACACCCTGCGGAGGAAACTCATTTCCGTCGCTTGTTTCTGGGATGTCGTTTGGTGACCCGCGTCCAGGTAAGGGAATACGAGATCCAAATAATTTGATCATAATCTGGGTTTTTTGATCTGTACTTTGTCTGGTCCCTCACCTCGGATCTGTTTGCCATGGATGGACCCTCCCAGGGGCATAAAGGCCCAGACAACTAGGATCACTGAGACACACAAACCCCTCCACCACGGTAAGGTGAAGGCTCACAGAGGGGTTGTCTAATCTATCTATATCAGTGGTGTCAAACGTACGGCCCGCGGGCCGGATCCGGCCCCCAAAGGACTTTAATCCGGCCCGCGAGATGATTATGTAAAGCAGTGGTGTCAAACATACGGTCCGCGGGCCGTTCCATCAGGCCCACAGGATAATTTAAAAGTGAAGAAAATGAGTTTCCTCCACAGAATAAATATTTTTAATAAGGTGCAATTCATTGAGTATCCGCTAGGGGACACTGTTTTGATCAGAGAAGAAGACAACAGCAGCCTCAGTCCATCACTGAGACAGACCCATGACAGCAGACGCTATCAATAGCACTCTCACATTTACACATTTAATAGCACGCTCCTTAGTTTGTAAGGTGTAGGCAGGGATTACATTTAGATTTTATATGCACGTGTAAATGGTTTAAAACTTCCTTTCTTTATAAATCTCGTTTAATCTTAAAGTGCATTACTATATTTTTCAAAACCAATTACTTGTTAAAGTTTGTACAATCAGTGGGATCAGTTGCAATGCATATATGTGAATGATAAAAGTAAATTGCACATTCGTCAAAGGAAATGTAAGGTGCTTCATGAAATTAGCAAAGTATGGTATCATTTTAATGGTCCGGCCCACTTGACATCTACCCAGGCCGTATGTGGCCCACCATGTGGAATGAGTTTGACACCCCTGATCTATATCTATATATAGATATATATCTATATATAGATATCGATATATCTATATCTACATATAGATATCTATATATAGATAGATATTATCTATAGATATATACAGTATATATATATATATATATATATTCATTCATTCATTTTCCGAACCGCTTGATCCTCACTAGGGTC